TTGTCACATGGAACTTGGCTTGTACCATGGTTTGTGATTAGAGCGCTTGCACCTTCGTATGTCTTTGCCAACATCAGATTATATTCATTGTTGCTTCAAAAATGGATCATTTATTTCATTAAAAAATAATTCCTTTATAGGCACATCCCTAGAGTTTCAAGTGACAACGGAATTCAAATAGAAATACTACTTGGAACTAGAGCGCGTTAAACATAGTACAGCTATCGAGTAATATCGATTGTACTATCGAAATAAAATAAAAATTTTACATTTTTTGACTAATTGATAATAACTTTTTGATTAATAAATAAATCAATAATATTGTATAATAATTGGATAATAAAAGGTTAATTCAAGTAACATCTTTTCAATTTTTTCAATAAATTATCCGCCATTAAATACAAACTTGTAAAATATTGTAATTTTCTTTCATCGTTGCCACCTCGCAAAAAGGTTGGCAAAATCACTGCACTACTTCAATAAATTAAATATTGTCACCTCGAAAAAAACATTGGCAAGTATTGATCATTCAACATTTGACGCTCATTCACGTCATCATTAACGTGAATTTTTTCTCTTTTATTAAAAAAAAAGTCGAACCAGTGATCTTTTTGTATTTACATTTAATGAGAGAAAAATAGAAGACATATGTTGCTGGAGTATTTGTAATTAAAAATGCACCATTAAACTTTTACATTTTAATAATTGATTCCGATATTAATCGTCCAAGTTTTCTTGAGCCCTCTCTTCGCTAGTTGCGAGAGGAGTGTGGAGTTGGGTTATTTTGACAAAAGGAATTTTGCGTCAAATTTGTTGTTCCTTTTTCGATGCAAAATAGTTTCTATGACACGGGAGCGAACATTCTGGTTCTCAAATTTTGTCTAAAACGTTCATTGCTATCGTTTATTCTTAATTAAAATTCAACTAATGTTAGCAAAGGAATGGGGGTAGGTATTGCGGGGCATAAGAAAACGTGCGCGTATAATAGTATTAGATAGTTTTCAGAAGTATCAATAGTTTTGATAGAACGCACTATCGGTAGTAACAGATAGTTCCATCGAGCTTTAACTAGCTCTAACTTGGAACTACGGTCTCCAAAGACCGTGAAGTGGAAAGATGCTACCTACAAGAAAAACGAGAAATTTTTCGAAGGGCTTTGGTTTCCGTGCTCTCTCTTCGTGCTATTAGTAAGAAACACGATCGTTTTATGATTAAAAAATCTTAGCAGAACGAACGGACTTGGTCCTGAAGAGAAGTCAGGGGTTCTCAGAGGCCCCGCAAGTGCATCGACGGGTAAACATGTGCTGCTCGTGCCGCACTATTTGAAACCAACGGCACGGAATATTTATTTTGGATTGTAGTGGCTGAGGCGTGTAGGTATCCTCAAGGTTCTCACGAATCATCAGGGAATTTCGAGGCCAGACCTCTGTCGAAATAAAATATGGAACCAAAGTACATGATCTTTTTACGTTATCCCACCCTCTAAGTATAAACTTTAGCAAAGTAGTAGTTTAGATTGTGAGACAAAGTGGTTATTTTCATGACTAGAAGAGAGAGTTCTCGGTCGAGCCTGCTATCAGTCCTGCTTTAGATCGAGCCTAGGAATCTCGCGACTTGGAGAATGACTTTTGCCATGTGTATACAATATTTTATTCAAGACATCGATTTTATGATAATTTGACATTGTGAATTTTATACTAATTTAATCGAAGATTTCGTGAACATACTACGCATTTTTTTCAGTTCAGGGCTTGGTACTTATTTTGTGGTTTTCTAATTGTTGCATTTTCCGTACAAGTTCGGAGAGTACTTCCGGTACGTTCTTGGGTTGGAGTTGAAAGAAATTGAGTTTTCATGTCCGAATACTATGCAAAAATGTGGCACATTGTTGAGGGTTAGATATTTTACACATGTGTACGATCTCCGCTAATTGAGAGTGGATGAAGGAGAGAGAAATGGAGTGGGAAGCAAGGAAAGGGGGAGAGGTTTCTTCTCAACATTCGTTTACCATCTGATCAGAGACTCAAGTTCACTTTCGCCCAGAAATACTTTTTCACCATTTTTGGCTTAATGTACTGCTTTGCAAATGCAAAATCTCGATTTTCTCTTTGCTTTGCTGATGAAAGGCTTCTTAGCTGCTCGCCCGTTATAATCAACGTATCGGCACTCTGTGCACGGTTTCTGAACGGATTTGAAGTTCGTTTGCAGATTGCTCTGAGTCCTGATCTTAGGATTTTTCATTACCATACGCATCGTCTGTAGCGTGCGTTCTTTCCTGGTTTCAATACTAACCTACACCTAACCCTCGCTTCTTCGTATCTGGTATCTTGTACCCGTTTTGTCATTATACTGTTTCAGATATTCAACACGACTGCTCTTTTCCTTTTGCGTAACCTCCGTGAAACGTTCTAAACCTTACTTCCTTCCCAGTCTGGCCGATGGGTAGATGGCGCAGGGTGCGTACGAGACTCGAGCGCGAAGACGCTACCTATCGGCGATTCCCTGACTTGACTGCGACTGACGTGACATGACTAGCCAGCGCCCCCTAGAGGACGCTAGGTGATTAATAGCGGAGAATTACTCCAAATGAAATTAACGGAGGATTACTCCACGGTGTACTCAGCACTCAGGGGACGTGTTGCGTCTATAAAGACACCAAAGGGAAGAAAAAAAGAGAGAAAAAAATCGCCAAAGGAAGAAAAATAGTCGCAACATCTTTTACAACTACATTTTATTCTTCCCCGAATTTCCTTAACACTTCCATGTTTTTCTCCCATAATGTTTGAAGAGACTGAAACAATCTAATTTGTGTTCACTTATACTTCTGCTCTATTAATTGTTTTGTATGCGAATCTAGTGTTGCGTGGAAAGCTGATATTAAAAGGCGAATGTTTTGTATGTTTATGTGAATAAGGTGTTGGTTAAGTTTAATTAATATACGCTGTGTGTTACATTCATTTGAAAATCGATATTGGCACACCTTGGCATGTAAAATTGAGAAGTCGAACATAACGTTCATTCATTCTCTAGCGTTACTCACAGTTTAGCTTTAGATTTCAGTCAAAAGAACTTAAAAACTGTATGTGACATAGGGGGGAGAAGATTATCTGCGCACATTTTCTTTAGTTCCAGAATCCCTTCCCGTCATTATAACTATAAATAGTTGAAAGATGAGTAAAAGTTTATCATAAATAAAAATAAAATTTAAAAATAAATTTTAAAAAACGCAAGATTAGCAGTATTTGAAATAGTAATTTTCGTTTCCGAGTTATAGTAAACTTATTTGCATCAGTGCACGAATTGCAGTATGATTTTTCGGCATTGCTAACAAAATAGCAACTCGCCCTTACCTCTACTCTTACCATTACAAGCAAAGGGAGTATTCAACAAAACATGTGACATTCAACACAAAGTGAAGCCACATTTACGTCCAGAAGCAAAACAAGGGGCCATTTCAGCATTTGCTCAATGGATCAGGGAAACTGGACAAAAACCTGATCAAGATGGATGTCAATGAGACGTGTTGAATGACTCCTCATACGTCTTGATTGGTGCAGGGGAAGTGGTCTAGCTGCCAGTGGCAGAATCTCTCAGATACGCACACTGAAGTGTTTTACTCCAATATTTTATACTGATTAAAATTTTGAATAATTTCCATTTTATATTATTTGTCACACCTTCGATTCAATCGCATCCTCCAATCTTCTAACTGTCAGTTATGAAGGGTAAAAGAAGTTACAGAAGATTACAGTAATGAATTTTCGTCATGAACTTATGACATAATAAAAGCCAGGTTTTTGTGTGCCATTGTAAATTCATGAAATATTCACTAACAAAAAAAATGAAAAGGAGACAAAATGCAAAAACACAAAAGGAATAAAAATGACATAAAGGGAAGAAAATAGACCTAAAATTGAAAAATGACAAAAAATAACTCTATTCATTACTATCATGTGGATGTTGCGATGAACATTTGTTTACAAGTTAGCTATATCTAGTATGTACCAATGAAAAGATGACATGTCATCAGAATCAGAGTCCTGCTTATGACTTATTGATTTGTATTTTTGGAATTGAGAGATTTTTCAAATTCCAATAAATGCAAACAAAATTCAATGCAGGTTATACATTGTTTAGGCATTTTTGACCCGTTTCACCATCCCTCGAATTGGATTTTATCAAAACTCGACAAATCGTATAGTAAACTTTATCTTTAAGCATGTAAAATTACAAGATTTTTTAGCAAAAACCAATATAAATGTATTCTCAACATTTGTGTTACCAAAAACTCTTGCATCTTTGCATCAATCGAGTTTGGAAAAAATTCTCCTTGATTAGAGGTGGAAATCGTGAGATACATTTTGATGCTTAGAAATGAAGTGAAGAATTCATTTAGAAATCATTTTTGGATTGAATAAAATATTTCTTGAAATATTATATTTTGATACTAATGGGACAATTGGTGAATTACTTGTTTGTGTCTCATGTTTATTATTATTATTATTATTATTATTATTATTATTATTATTATTATTATTATTATTATTATATTATTATTATTTGTTTAATTGTTTAAAATCTTGTACGACCATTGCATGTGACAATTTGGCGAAGTCAAATTTTGATTATATAATGTCTGTAATAACTGTGGAAGCTTTTAAACATCTTAGCGTGAAATAGTTATATTGAAGTAGATCGTGTAGAATTGATGAAACACATTTTCTTCAACATTTGCAATGCAATTAGAATGGTGATTTATTTGGTCACTTCCACAACTGGAACAAATTGTGAAATGAAATAATTGTCTTTTCATTTTCAAAAATGATCATTATTATGGTGTAATTTCGGTGTTTTAAATTTGCCTTTTAAACTTATTTCCAATATGTCAGAATGGACATTTTGAAGTGAATTTTTATAATGAATTTATTATTTGTTCTGATGAAATTTATTGTCATGTTTTGCAAAGCTATTTATTCTGCATTATCCTTTTCTTTTTTCAGTCGCTATTGCTGTTAAATTATTTAGTTCGTAATGGATCTGAAAGAGTAGTTACATCTGCAAGAGAACATATTTATGATTTAAGAAGTCTTGAAAATTACACATACGTGGATGAATTTGGAAAAGATCAAGGAATAAATGTCCGGTATGTATGTTTTGTTTACTGTTTGTTGATGTCTGGTCTAATTGTAATAATTTTTGCTTGTATATGTGTGAACAGTCTCCTCTTTTCTTAATTTGTTGTACAGTATGTCGTGAATTAATGCATGTGGAATTGCTATTGGACCTCAGAGATTGATCTTTAAAAAAATAGTTTAATCTTCCTTCCGCTTATACACTTATTACTTTATTCCATTTGAAATATAGTACTGTAAAACCCCACTCCAAGAGAATCTCACTTACAGAAGAGAATATTCTGTTTTTAAACACGGCTGGATAAAGCCTTATTTTGTCGCTCTCAGGGGTTCTTTTTAAAAGACAAAAGTGCATAAAGACATTGCAATTCTGTCTCTTACAAAGGTTCTGCTTCTTTCTTTTCTGCTTCTCCTTCTCCTAATTCTTGTACTTTACTCTTACTTCTTTATTCAATTGGGAACGCAGGATTAAAGAAAAGTTGATGATAATGTTTTACATAAAATTTGGTACTTTCTGAATATGTAACTAATGTTTCTAATTGTTGCAGGCATAAAGTGAGAGAATTAATTGAATTTATTCAAGATGATGATAAACTCAGAGATGAACGGAAAAAGGCCAAAAAAAATAAAGATAAATATGTTGGAATGTCCAGTGATGCCATGGGGATGCGTTTTGGTGAGATTTAATGTTTATTCCCTATTACTATTATTTCTGCTCTGAGTTATTTAGTGATATTTCCCAGTAATTTAGTTACTATTCTCTTGAATATTGGTAGTCCTAAATAATTAATACAGTCAAATTGGCAAGAGTAATTCTAAACCTTGGGATGAAAGAAGGGTTGCTGAAAATTTGCATTGATCTTTCGTTTTCATACAGTTAGTTTCTTTAGTTTTTGTTCTAACACTATTTTTGTATTAAAAAGAAAAAACACATTAAAAAATTATCGAAATATTTTGTGCAATGAAGAAGCATCATCTTAAATTTTACTGTTAATTAAATAAAAACTTTTAAAACTAGAAATCCCTCCCCCTCTACACATCTTCATCAGTTCTGAAAATGCCTTTAAATATGTTAATTAATGCATTGAAAACCTCTGATGTCAGTCATGATGATTTGTGATGCATAGGAAGTGAGATATTTTGCAAGCATTATCTTTAACTTTTGATATCTTTACTTGCAAATATGATATCAAAATACTTTTCGGTCCATGTTTAGAACATGGAAATAAAGATCTATACAAGTTTTCAGCTCTACCACTTTAGTTTCATGGTTTAGTCTTTTTTTGACTGGATTAGTATATCTTAACAGATAATATTAAACATTGAAGATTAAAGAATGTATGTAAGGTATATAAAATTTAATGTAATAAATTTATTAACATTTAATACATACCTTGCAGAGTGAGCTGAAAGAAATTCTTTTTTCAGTGTAATGTTTCTAAGTGCACTGTCTTCTTTCAGGTGGTGGAGGATGGGAAGACACTCCACGATGGAAAAAAGATGAGTTTGGTGATTGGGATCCCGATCGAGGAGGAGGCGGAGGTGGTGGCGGTGGCAGTGGCAGTGGTGGGGGTGGTGGAAATGCGTGGTCTGGAGGTGGACGCCAGAGGGGTTTTGAAGATTCCAATAATAGGTGAAAAGCTTTTAAAGATATAACTTGAAAGATATTAAATATATCATTGAAAGTAGCAACTTACAATTATTACAGAAAACAATTGGTGTTAAGTACCATAAATCTAGCCCTTGTCTCAGTAGTACTTCATCAGCTACATATTTAATTAAAATAGTGATTGGCCAGTAGTAGTCATAAAATTTTAAAATTTCAACTTTACTGAAGTTCTTTTATCAAAGAGTATACCTGTAAAATTATTGCATACAATTTTTTGAATTTTATTCTATTAAGTCTTTTGCAAGCATATACAAATACATCACTAGTTTGTGTTGTTTTTCTTTATTCCATGCAATATCTATGAAATTTGAAAGACTGTGAAAACGGGATAGCTGGTCTTCTTGCCCCTTCTGTGTGGCTGAGAAATACTAGTTACACTTAAAAATTAAATAACTTTTAAAAGGTTGAATCTCAAATGAAACGGTAGCTTTTGGGAGTTTGAGCTTTTCTTCAATAAATTTATAGGTCATGCCAAGAAAATTTCATGATTGAAGTGACTATTGTACATAATATTGACTTATTCAGTGACAAATGTAATTTACTTTTTTATGTCTATTTGCTTATTAATTAATTTTGTTGGTCAATTGCCCATTTTACAATACTTTGTACTAAAAATAATATGTTAAATATAATTCTTATCCAGTTTTATTATTTGAACATTTATTTAGGGTGGTAAGTACAGACTGAGGAAATTATTGATAGTCATTATGATAAATATTTCTTATATTCATAAATAATTTATTGGTTATTTTACACTTATATATGTAATATAGTGAAAGTATTGAAAGGTTTATTATATGTGGTACCCAGTTGGGCACTAATTTTGTTGCTGTATCTGCCCAAAATTGAGCATGCCAGTTTGAAATGTTTTCTGTAAGTTTGAAGTGTATCCTGACTTCTAAAAAATTTATTTTTGTAATAATTCTTGTAGATGTCAGAGCAACAAATATAGACCAGGTTGGTACATTCTAAAAATGTATTCTGTCTTAAAATATGATTGGTCTGCTGATCTAATTAGTAAATAATAATAGTAAATAAATAATGGTAAAAAAATTAACTTTCATTAAAAACTTAAATGTTCTTTCAATTTCAATTTCAGTATTGAATTTACATACTTTAGAGCTCATTCAATGGACATGTCATTTTAATCAAATTAACAATTTCTTGTGGCTTTTAAAATGTAATTTTGAATCACTATGTTTTCTGCAGCGCTTAAAATTCTGAGATGATACAGCTTATGACAACGCTGTGAAAAAATTCCACTGCGTAGAATGTTTGAAGTCCTTCAGGAATCTTTGGTTCTTGCCTCTTGGTCTTGAAATTTAACCAATGTTTAATATTTACAATCCTTTTCAGTTTTGGAACACACAAGAGTTCTGAAATTCCTGTTGTAAATTTTGCATTTTATTTCTATCTCTACAAACTTGGCTACCACCAGATGTCCTATTTGTAAATGTGTAATACTACTTCTATATTTTCTCATACCAGTTCTAATGTTCTAAAAGAAGTTAATGCCTCGTTAAATGTATGTCAAATTTTCCCTTGGGATAATTATATCAGTATTGTAATGCTGCTGGAAAAAATACCAATTTTCTCACAGCGAAAATTCATTTTGTTGGTTCTGTATACTGAAAAAGTAGATTGTTCTTGGTCAAAGATTTCTGGTAAATTTTTTTTCTCAATATGTAGTGAATAGTCTGAATTGACATTTTGTGGTCCTTCATATTTAGTAAGTGATTTATGGCAAAACGCCTACCCTTCATCCATGAACATCATAGCCTGCAATGCAGCAGCATCCGTTCGATGCCAGCCTGCATGATGTATATTTATATTTTTTGAACCTCTGGTAATTTTCTTGGTCTGAGAGTCTTCCAAGCGATTGCTTGTGTGATAGTAGGATATTTTATTCCTTAACCATTATTAATAAAACAAAGTATGTAGTGTTGTAGTATCACTAGGTTTGATTTGTTTCAGTTATAGGTTAATAACTTTGATATTGTCTAAATTGTGTATAATGAATTCTGTTACAGTGATGATTGTGAAAGATATGACTCAGATACTGACAGTGGACCACAGAAATCAAAAGCCAGAGAGTATAAAGACAAAGATAGTGACAGCCTAGACTCCACAGATAAAAGAGAAAAAAGTAAACCAAGTACACCTTCCAAACACAAACCAGTCATTAAGAAGATTGACCTTGGTGCTGCAGCGAATTATGGGAAGGACTCTAATTCGTCTGTAAGTATGCTTATAGGTTTGTCATGACAAAACCTCAGTATTAACAGAAGCTGTATTAATACTGAGAAGTCGGTAATATTGCTGTATGAATATGGAAACTCTTTTTGATATTCAGAAATCTAGATTTTAAGAATATAATAAATCCGTTATAATAATTCTAATACTTTTGACTTCGGTACTTTGAAAAAAGTGTTTTGAAGAATCAGTTTTCCGCAATGAGTTTTGAAATCAAAATGGGCTGATACTAAAGTTATCCCGTTCGAATCCAAAGATGGTCACTGCCTCTGCATGTCGTTCGGACTGAAGACGGGCAGTGCCCGTCCTGTATTTTTTTGTTGTATTTTCACGTTTTCCCAATAGATGGCTATAATGTATTCGTTATGGAATGGGATCTGAATCTTGTAGAAGTTCCTTGCACAATACCGATTGTTTTCCTTCGATATTACTTTCTCCTTGAATGTTCTTGTAAAAATGCAGGATTATGTTGTTGACTGCTATCATGGATGCTGCAAGGCATTAGGAATAAAATATTTGTGGAATCGGAAGAGTTTGGTTAGTGGGTGACTGATGTTTTGAATGACGGAGATGAGGAATTATATAATGATGAAACGGGTGCTATTGCATGGTAGTGACGTAAATATTGAAAGTAGTCAAAATGTATTGACGTAAATATTGAAAGTAGTCAAAATTGAAAGTAGTCACACTGGTAATAAATTTTAACATTTCATTTTTAATAAGTTTTCATATAAATTAATTATAATGAACATTTAGTGAAAGCACTACCTTGAAAAACTGCAAAAAACAATATACGTAAGCCAATATAATTGTTATATATTTATTATTATTGTTATTATTATTATTATTATTATTATTATTATTATTATTATTATTATTATTATTATTTAGTATGTTATATGATATATTATTTGATGCCACTGAAATTGTCACTGAAATTAATTCAGCCCCTGGGACCACCAAAATTTGAAGAAAATTTGGCTTTCAATTGATTAACATGAATAAAAGTTCAGGGCTGTACCAGGGCGGTACCAAATAAAGTACCATTCTTTTGTTAGAATATAAATTATTCAGCTTCTCTACAGACATTTTAAAATGATTCGTGACTGGTCACTCCATGATGTGATTTTGCTCCAAGAATGATAATGTTTGGATGGATTTTGAAAAGACAGAATTTTTCTAAATAGTTAACATACAATTCGCTTTTTGCTCCACAGAATAGCAGTCCTTTGAAAAACAATTTGAATAATGTTCATCAATCAACTCCGACAAGTGGAAGCGAAGATTTATTTGGAGAAATTGTTGCTGGGAGAATGACTGCTACAGAAGCCCCTGAAGGAGATGAAGATTTCAACCCTCGAGCCAGTGAAACTCCTGTTCCAGTATCAGCAGATTTTGGAGACTTTACTAGTGCATTTGGGAAAATTGCTGTTAGTAAAACAAGGTAAATTTCTGCAGCAACAACAACATCAAAAATGTATTAAAGTTTCTTCATTCCCAAATTAAATTCAAGGGTTATGTCTATAGATAATTCACTCAAGGCCAGTTTCACCACCTTGTATTATGTGATTAATGTTGTTTATCTTTGGCTAGACTGTATGTAAGTAGCTCACTATTTCACCACATGCTTTGGGTGTAATTACTGAAAGTTAACTAATGTATCGTTAAAAACCCAAGAACTTCACTTTAAGAAGAGATAATTGCGCCTTTCTTTGTGTCATTTTCACAGTTGTGGTCTAATTTATCATGATGTTGACATTCAACTGCATTATGTTGAATGACTATCATGAGCAAAACCAAATTTTGGATGAATATGAAAGAATTTTTGCTAGAACATATTGTTATGAATATGGCAGTTGAGCTTATCTAAATGCACTATTTGTACCATTTTGGAAAAGGTCATGGAGAAGCTTAGCAAAATTATTTATTTGTTGATTACGTTGTAGTATTTTGCTTCAACAAATTAACAGGTGAGAGGATCAACAAGGTTAGGATAAATAGATTTTAATCTCATGAAACTGTTTTAGTTGTCCCTCTATGTCCGTGGTATACGTGATTATTCCATTTATATTTGTCCTCATATTTTTGTTTTTTAATATAATTTATATGTGGACAGTGTACACAAGCCTTTACTTAATATTTGTACTCGATCCTTAGTAAATCAGAATCATACTGACATATGCCTGTCAAACATGGATAAATGTTGCACCTAGCAATTTAAACACTAAACAAACTGTCCAAAACAAATTTCTTCAAAGGCTTGTCATTGCTCCACGGGTTAAACCCAATAGTAAAATTGTATATAAACTTAAAATTCCTCTAATTACAGATTATTAGATTAATCTTTTCTAAAGATCTCTTACACTTACCATCCTGTTCAACTGCAGCCCTGTTTTGAATTGCTTCAGCAAGCAAACATCTCAAACAGAATCAAATGAAGATTCCCCAAAGACATCTTCAAATGCTTAATGTGAAATTGGAGGGGGAGTACTATGCCAAATTTGGTGGCTGTTTCTGTGCATCCATTAGAGCCCGACACTTTACTTCCAACTCTGAGGACAACTGAGGCAATGAGACGATGCGATATCACATGGCCTCCAAAGCGAATAGTTATAGTTCTGTTTAGTCAGTTCTGTTTTGCGCCTCGCCCTCTCCATGCTTGTTTGCCACATTTCGTTTTTTAATACTGATCATTTTTGCTTCAACCTTGACTCCCCTTCAGGATAGTTACCTACAACAGTTTTTCTTCCAATATTTTTTAAAAACTTTTTTTTTATTTTTTAAGAAAATCTTGTATATAAGCCCCTTTATTACAAGTTCCTTTTTGGGGGAAAAAAGGTGCAGTTTATACATGAGCAAATACAGTATTTAAGGAAAGGCCTTGCCATGTATAAAACAAACTTTTATGCCTATAACTCAAAAAGGGTTAATTTTACAACAAAACCTTATATAAACGTTTTGGAGGAAATTTTGTCACAAGCAAAATTTTCAGTAGGATTTTTAGGTAACGAGATACATGCAAAGATACATGCCCCCTCTCCCGCACCCACACACCCTTTCAGGATTTTTAGTATAATTTGCGGTAGGTACCAACAAACAATCATGCCAAGTTTCGAAACTCTGTGATTTTTTTCTACGAGTTGTGAATTGTCTAATTCGACTGGGCTATGTTATTTAAAAATTGTCTTTTTGTCTTTCAGTGAATTGCAAGATGATTTTGCTGACTTCAACTCTGCCTTCACTGATTCTACAAGTAGTTATTCACCGCAACATTTTAATCCTCCTTCCAAAAGTGGCTTAAGCAGTGTCCCCCAGGTGAATAATGGCAGTTTGGAAGGTAAGAACAAATTTTGTTGACATTTTGCATCATTGAATGATAGAATACGGTTATTGTATATAGATGGCCAAAATATCCTTTTGTTCGAATTTCAAATGCCTAGATGTTGCAAGTTAGAAGTGATCTTCATGTGTAATCTTGTGGGTTCTTTCATTAGAATTGCCTATCCTTATTTCATAATTAACTGTTTTTGTTAATGTTCTTTCTAGTTTTGCTTCAGGACACATCAAGTAGAGGAAATGATAACTGGATGTTGAAAATTTTGTTAGTTTTCAAAAAGAGCTAGATTAGTTCATAGAACAGCTTCAAGAATCCATCGCTAAAGCTAGAAAGTTCATGCAATTGCATGTCTCATTAATTGTCATATCTGCCAGAAACATAATCCTTTGCAATCGTATTCAGTGAGCATAAGACATGTCCTAGTTTCAGTGGCATCTCTGAGATGACAGGAGAATAATGGCTACCAGCTGTTATGAGTATGTAAAGTGACGTGTACCCTGACACGAACCTTATTTATAGAATTTATTTCTTACTTTTATTTCAATACAAATTTCTGAAATATGGATTTGATTAAGTATGGATGAAAGTTTCATGTATCAATTACATAAGAAATATGAAACTGGAAATTTATAAAAACTACTATATATTGGTCATTCAATTATCTTGCGGAATTAGTTACAAGCTGGAGCTGGGGCATACAAAGTATCTGCAAAGAACTGTGCCGTCATTTTCTATTGTCATCTTAGAGATGCCTTACGAGTTGTGGGCCTTGAAGTGCACACACACATCTGACCACAGCGTACACTCATAAGTGCCCTATGAGTAAAAAAGATAAAATCTCTTGTTCTTAGCATCTGTAATAAAAAATGTTGGGCTTATAATGCTAATTTAATATATTTGAGAGGTTTTGGACATAAAAATTTAATAATTTGCATATTTTTCAATTTTTTGCTTTTATGAACACTTATTTTTCTGCTAAAAACAAGCATAAACAAATACTTCTGGATGGCTGATGACCATAATTGGCGGGTTAAAATTTGAAGTATCGAGTAAATATAGGATTGGTAAATGACAAAATGAGATGATTTTCTAACGAGAAAATACATTCTCAGGGTACCTTCCTTTCAGGGGATGAATTTGATGCAAACATGTCAAAATGTAATGATGAGATGTGAAAAGGCTGTTTTCTAAATATAAGACTATACTTAGATTGATAGAAGGTTGTAGCAAATTTTTGAAGGTTGTGGCACACATATTTGAGATAAAAGTTTGCATAAACTTCTCAGCCCTAGTCTTACATTCTGTGACTGAAAATGCTCTATTCTGAAACGCAACTCTGTTAGATTAAATGTGCTAATTTTTTATGCACATTTGTCTAGGGAATATTTTTCCTATCTTTCAAATTGTGAAGGAACTGCTGTATCATCTTGCTGGAGATTTGCTTTCACAAACATGATATTGCATCAGAGATGGTGACAGCTGCTTACTATAGTTTGCAAATCTTCTATCGTTATGGTGGCATTACTGTCGGCAGTGCTTTCTTGATTTACTCATGAATGGTCATGGGGCTTTTCTTGGGCTAACAGTCTGTTATTCTGTTGCTGTGGCTAGTATTGCCACACTTGGGGCTTTGGGCACTTATTTGTTGGGTCAAATTTGTTGAAATATTTCTAGAGTGGTTTATGTTTTTCAGAATGTTGTGAAAGTTCAAAGCTTTTTTATGCTGTGTTTTGAGCCATCTGATGATGGATGTTCCATATATTTGCCATTATACTAATTATAGCTCATCATACTGTCCTTTACTAACGTAACTGCATTAAAGAGTCCATTTATTATGTGTACCAAGAAGAAAGGACATTAAACAAAAATATTTGATATTTTATGAAAATATGTAAGAGATGCGTGTTCACAATCACATGAATTTATAAATTATATTTGTAATTTAAATATTAATATGTGATGAGTTCTAAAATATGAAAATGGTATAAATATGTTTGGTCTAATTTTTCATTAAAACTTCTTACATTTTGAAAATTGCAAGAATTTTAGTCAATTTGTTTAAAACTGCAACAAACACAGACTCTTCAATTTTGGGTCTGTCAAACTTAAAATGTAGTAATAACTAATAGGGGCCACGGAATGTCAAATTACAAATTTTGAAAACCTCTTTGCATCCTCCAAATAAGACACATTTCGCTTTCAACTTGTGGTAATACACAAATCCTTTCTGAAGGAATCTTGCTTTTGGGGCCCCTGTTTGTACTTTTGGGGGTAACCTGCCAGGCCAGTGGTAGTTATGCCAGTGGTTCTACATTTACGCACTGATGTAACCCCTTATATGGTGAACGCTTGCAAGTTTTGCAGCAACTTTACCCTAAAACGATACATGCGACTTGCATTGCACATGCACTAAATAGAACTCCGAAAGAAATTAGTGGAAATCATCCTGATGTAGATAAGTTCATTTCTGCTGTAAAGAAAATATTCATTAACCCTTCAGTGTAGTATACCGTATGCTCCGTCTGTTGATAGCGATTTCTTTTCTCTTTTAAACGCGGTATGCTGTACCTGGACGGGTTGGATTATCCTTTCCAAGCCGTCTCAGGACGGAAGGGACTTTTACTTGTTTTTCCTCTCATTTGCGATGTGCCGTCTACAGGCGTTGGTCGCTTGGCGGTGCCGTGCACAGACAAGCAGTGTGTTCCAGCGAGTTTTCAGTTTCTTTTCGTGTGTTTTAATACAAATATTTTAATATTGATTGAAGTGATTCTATTTCTTTGCGGAACATTTTTAAATAAACAATTAATTTACAATACATCGTCTATGTACTATGTATCGTATGAAATTATTGCAACTGTCAGACATACTATAAATAAAACAATAGAAATTGCCTTAAATTTTAATAAAGCGGTTGCTAAATAAGGGCCACACTTTGGATGGACAATTACTATGGACAATTACTACATACCCTCTCATTAGCTGCAATGTGAAAAAAATGGGAACAAATTGTATAGGAGCATTACGTTTGAACATAAAGATGTTCTTAAAATATTGTGTGAAAAGAAATTGAAGCGAGGTGAGTACATTGCCCAATACCTAGGCCCTGTTTCAATGTCGAAATAGATGGGTAAAGAGGTTGTTTCTATGATAAGCATCTACTACAAGGAAGAATTCAAAACAGTCACTTCAAAGAGAAAAGAAGAAATTAAAAATCACACATGCGTTCTTGATTACAATAAATGTACGGGAGGGGTATATCTGGAAGAACACTACTTGTAAATATATCTTATTGAAAGGAAGAAAAGCAAGAAATGGAATATGAAAAAGTTCAGAAGATTATTAAATGTCACTGTGTTGAATAGATTTATTATTTGGAAAAATAATTATACTGGAACAAGAATTGAAATCTTTGAAATTTCGTATTGATCTGATCTAGCAATTGTTATCTTTTCATTCACATGACAAAAGAGCAGAATGTGAATGTCATTTGGGGAATGATTTACATCGCTTGTCAGCAAGACACTTTCTTGAAAGAATTCCACCTGAAGGCGACAATCAAACAACAGAAATGATGTGTGGTATGTCACAAGAGTGGGAGATGTCGAGAACCTACATTCTGGGGCCCAGATTGAAAAGTGAACTTGGCTTTGACTGTTGTTTTAAAAGCTATCCTACCATATAAAATTATTAGGAGTATCTACATAGAAAATTAGTGAACTTTATTTTTAATTATGTTCTACATTGATGAAAAGGAATGAAAGTGTTGTACAGTTATTTTAATTTTCCGTTTCCTTGAAGTCCTTATTTAATCATTATCATTGTTTATCATACTATTGAAGATGTGAAGCAATGCATTTTAAGAAAAGAGCACATTTTCAGAGTTGCGAAGCACAACGCCGCCTGAGCTGAGATGCTCCTGCAGTAGGCCTCTGCAGATGCGCTGAGCTTGCTACCTGCTCCCGCGGTGCCGCTTACCACACCTTTCACTTAAAGCCGCCTTCAAATGCTGTCGCTCTCTCCCTTAGTACTGTGTTGAAGGGTTAATTCCAGTGCGAATGTTCAAGAAAGTGGTTCCTTCGATGCCATTGCCTCCCCAACCCATTATTACAAGTTGGGTCACATGGCTTAATCCTGCAAACTACAACTGAACAATTAAAAAGCTATCGAAGAGATTAAAGAATTCATTGAAAGCGAAACTGCCTCCATCAAAACCACCATACAATATACTATAGCTATAAAGAAATGTATAAATTCTTTCTATCTTGTCAAAAACCGAAGATTGCATTTTAATCAAAACAATTTATCAATGTAGATTTTGAAATATGTATCCTTCAGCTATATAAATATTTGTGATCATAGTAAATGATAAACACTTTCGATACATAATTCACAGAGAAAGCCGCATCGTAGAATTAACAGTTCGGATTGTTCAAATAACAATGACGATCATGTTACTTGTTCAACTAATCTAATTAATAACATTCAATAATAATCTTGTGTACAGTAATGTTATGATGAGTATCTGCTGCCTGTAATGGCTAAATGTATACTAGCAATCCTCTCTCCCTTTTCCTACTCCTGCCTGATACATGTTAGGTGATTTAAGGGACAATTGTAGACCACAGGAGGTGGTTAGTAGAAGCTACAGGATGTCTCTCCCTTTTTCTTGTTCTTTCTCACCCCTTAGAAGTAAGTACCTCATCATTGCATAATTGATGGAAGGGAAGACCAAAAATATCGTTGGTCTGAGACTAAATCATTTAGTGGTCTTTGAGGTGAGGGTCACAAGCACCCCAATAAGGAAGAGGAGGCAGGGCAGGTCCAAAATTGCTGTCATTTCTTTTCTGCCTTATGTTCTCCGCAGATTTAAGTTTGATTATTTAATTTGTCAGATGAATGAATATTTCTGCTTTACTGAACTATGACTGTTTGTTATTCCATTGGTTATCTAATGTATAAAACTTATTTTTGTATCTGGATGCAGTATTGCACTTATGTTATTAAACATCCCAATCACATTTAGTTTCTTTATTTTGTTTTCTAACATTACATTCAGGTGACCATTGCCCATATTCTCTAAACTTCCTGAAGGAATGTGAAGATAACTCAAATTGATTGTGCTCATTGTTATTAAATATTAATTTTAGCTTTTTTATTAGTATAACTTCTGCACTGTATTCAGTATCAATTATTTTATTTGTCTTCATGATAACCTTGCTAAATGAAAATAAACAAAAAAATTGCATGGTAAGGTTTCCATTGTAGCCATAATACACTAAAACAAAATATTAATGATAAATTATGAAATAAATGATCAGGATGAAGTTGACGTTTCCTGAAATGAAAATATTGCTAAAAGATATTGACATTTTGATCTTCCTGATTTCTTCTGCATTAACCTTTTAATTACATTTTATCAACAAATATTTGTTGAAATGAATATTTATTAATGTTCAACAGGTGGTCAACAATCGAATGCTGATTTATTATCTGGACTGGGATCTTTTCCATCTGTATCAAATTCAAATAACTTAAATGCAAGCGTACTGGACACCAACATCAATTCCACAGGTACTAATTTTTTGTAATTTCACATTCCTTAGATAACTTGTTTCTATCAAGTGTTTATAATCCTTCAGTAATTCCAAATTCATTTTAATACTTTATAATTATTTTTTTATATATAATATATTTTAAAAAAATTATTTGATTGAAATCTGATTTCTACAGCAAATGTCACCATATATTTAAGATATTTTTCTGTAGTTATATTTACTTTTAATTTTTCATGCTTTTCTGTTTCATTATTGATAGTAGGGATTTTTTCCAAGGCATACCATACATCATTCAACAGCAATTTTAGCATATGTGCAACATGAACTGTAAATGAGCACAAGGACAAGATTGCTATATACAATAGAACCCTGCTAATCCAAACCCCACAAATTCGAAATTTTGGATAATCCGAACAAAATTCGGGGTGGAGGGGAAATAAACAAAAAACACATGATTTGTATTAATTTAATTTATGAGTGAAAAACTTGAATACAGTGTTAGTCAACCCAATTCTGAGTGTAGTACATAGAATACCAAACAGCATCGACACAAACTGTTTCAACTCTTCTAAACAATGTAGCAACTACTGCATGCGATCGATTATGTACATACTTTACTCCATTGTTTGCAACATTGCCACTTCATGTGATTTGCTACATTGCTGTTTTCTCACATCTTGCATTATGATGAATTGTGTCTGGTCATCCTGTAGATGTTTTTGTATATATACAGTACACAGACCACACCCCTAATTAGTTTGGAATACCAGGGTTCTACTGTATTACCGAATGCTACCCAGTGCTTAAATACCATATTATGTCATCCTCTCACTACGAGGCTGTATCGAATACATCATGCACATACTATTTTGAGTGCACATATGTACAGTCTGTCAAAAGTTTGA